TGGAACAGGCTCCATTTATGTATACATACAGGGTTCTATTGTTAAGATAAGATTTTAGGTAATCGAGAGAGTGTCCTCTGACCCCGTAATGTTCCAGTTTTTGGCGCAAAAGGTCATGGTCAACTGTATCAAAAGCTTTTCATAAGTCTATAAACAGTCCTGGGGGAATTTAATTTTTCTCGAGTGCAGAGTATATCAGTTCCAGCATATGTATAATAGCATCATTAGTACTTTTTTTGGTCTGAACCCAAACTGACAAGGGTTGAGTATGTTGTGGGATACAAAGTAGGAGTAGACTTGTTTGTGTATTAATTTTTTCGAAGATTTTAGATAGTAGGGGCAGATTTGAAATAGGCCTATAATTGTTCAATTCACTTGGATCCTTTGAGGATCGGGGTGACTCTTGTTGTCTTGAGTATGGATGGGAAGGTGGAAGATTCAATGGATTTGTTAAAAAGAGTTGCAATAATTGGTGACAACACATGAGAAGTTTTTTTATACATGAATGGAGGTAAATTATTTAGGTCTCCTGTCTTTTTCTTTAGTGTTTTGATGAGTAACTGCATGTTGCTACCAACAGTAACAAAACCTACAAGAGTTACAGAGACTAGTGTTTCCCTACTTGACCACATCTGGACCAACACCATATCCCCTTTAAAATCAGGCATAATTACAGATAATACCACAGACCACTACCCTACTTTCCTCATAACAAATCTTGGTAAATTACCCCAAGACACTACTAAAGTCACCTTCAGACTTCACAATGAGGCAGCCATTAATAACTTCACAACAGCAGTAACAAACATTGACTGGCACACTGAGCTAGAAATCTATACAGATATTGACGAATGTATTAATAATTTTCTAAAAAAGACCCAATACCTCTATAACAAGCACTGCCCTAAAAAAAATAAACAGATGACAGCTAAGAGACTGAACAGTCCCTGGCTAACACCCAGCATTCTCAAATCCATAAATACAAAACACCGATATGAAAAACAGTACAGAATGGGTCACATAACCAGAGACCAAACAAAACGTTACTCGTCAATCCTAACCAGCCTGATAAGAAGGGCAAAAAAATGTATTATGAGAACAGATTATCCAACTTACAAGGTGATATAAAAAAGACCTGGAAAACCCTATCAGAAATTCTAGGAACAAAAAAGATATCACGAAATAGCGAAATAAAATTAGCAAAATCAGATGAACCCCAACTCCCACCAACAGAAACAGCAAACAGACTCAATGATTTCTTCTCCACTATAGGACAAAACCTTGCCAATAAAATCCCAAGCTCAGATACCCCCACAAATGACTACCTCACTGGCAACTACCCGAACACACTGTTCCTAGCTCCGACTAACCCATAGAAGTCTCCCTTATTATCAACGCACTAAAAAACAAGGCAGGAGATTTAAATACCTTACCATCCTTTATATACAAAAAAGTGTCACAAGTGCTATCACCAATCATTGCAACACTCTTTAACAAATCCATTGAATCCTCCACCTTCCCTACAGTTCTCAAAATAGCAAGGGTCACCCCGATCCATAAAGGAGGAGACCAAACAGAGTTGAATAACTATAGGCCAATATCCAACTTACACCCTCTCTCAAAAATCTTCGAAAAATTAATTCATAACCGAATCTACTCCTACCTCATCTCCCAAACATACTCAACCCCTGCCAATTTGGATTCAGGCCTAATAAAAATACTAATGATGCTATTATACACATGCTAGAACATATATACATGTACACTGAAATAGAGAAAAAAGAAGTCCCACTGGGGATCTTCATTGACTTACGTAAAGCTTTTGATACAGTTGACCATGACTTGCTCCACATAAAATTGTCACACTATGGTATAAGAGGGCACTCCCTCAACTACCTCAAGTCATACCTCAGCAACAGAAGCCAATATGTGTACGCAAATGGGGCAAACTCTTCCGCACAACCAATTACAGTTGGTGTCCCACAGGGAAGTGTCCTTGGCCCTCTTCTCTTTCTCCTATACATAAATGACCTACCAAATGCTTCGCAATTACTCAAACCCACACTATTTGCAGATGACACTACATACGTCTTCTCTCACCCGAGCCCAGTCACGCTAGCCAATACTGTAAATACCAAATTACAGAAAATATCTACCTGGATGAGGACTAACAAACTTACACTAAACATTGACAAAACCTACTTCATTCAGTTTGGTAACAGAGCTACAGATGTCCCTCTTAACATAACGATAAACGGATCACCTATCACAACGCTAACAGAGGGAAAATTCTTAGGAATCCACCTTGATAATAGACTCAAATTTCATACACATATACAACAAATTTCTAAGAAAATTTCCAAGACCGTAGGCATACTATCGAAGATACGGTACTATGTTCCACAGTCAGCCCTCCTGCCCTATATCACTCTCTTATTTACCCCTATCTCACCTATGGAATTTGTTCATGGGGCTCAACAACAATTAACCATCTCAGACCACTAATTACCCAACAAAAGGCTGCAGTTAGAATGATAACAAATTCTCACTACAGGCAGCACACTCCACCAATATTCAAAACACTAAACCTACTCACCATACAAAACATCCATACTTATTACTGCACCTATTACATACATAGAACACTTAACTCTGATATTAACCCTCCCCTCAAACATCTCCTTGCCAACCTCAACAGAACACATGACCATAACACAAGGCACAGATCACTCTTTGATGTTCCTCGTGTCCATCTCACACTATGCAAAAAACTCAATGCACATAAAAGGCCCTAAAATCTGGAATTCATTACCTGTAAATATAAAAGAAACACTACCTGTTTTATAAATTCAAGTCTCTTCTCAAAGATCACTTACTCACTCAAAACCAAATAAATACTGAATAAACTGAACCTTATAAATTGTATATCCTAAATGTTACTCACAATTATATCACACAAATGTTAAACCTAGGACCCAATCTAACTTTGTTATTTTTTTAAATACACTACCTAACAGAATACTCCATTCGACTGAATGTACAGCAATGTATGCAACCATATGTCCTGTCTTTGTAATACTCATTTGTCCTTTATAGTTATCTGTTTACAATAATGTTTTATCACTGATTTCATCATTGCTTAGTTAATCTTAAGTTAATTTTAAGCCAGCCCGTAATGCTATGCATATAAGTGGCTTTGGCATGCTGCTCTTACCTGTATTTTTTTGTACCTCTGTATGTATGCTAAAATTACTAAATAAATAAATAAATTGAAGAATTGCTGCACAATTTTATGTAACACGTCGTATAGATTAATTTAACTTGGTTCAGTTTGTGGGAAGGAAAAAAAAATCTCTTTTGCTCAAGTGACTGCCTTGTTGTGGAGCAGCCGGGGAGCCATCCCCTACCACTCCCCGACACCACCCCACCATCCCAGCATACGTAATTCATATGTGTCCAATCTTTCTCTGCTACAAGGCAGCTGTGTTTGTAAGTTGTGTTATGATATTTTAATTACTATATCTTGTATCTGCTAAGCAATCATGACACCCAGTAGCCATACTAGTGTTGCTGAAAGTGGCACGAAGAGGCATAAGCATGTGAGTCTTAGAATTAACAAAGATATTAGACAAGAGATAAAGTGTAGCCATAATTGAAGTGTTACTTTGTACACAGAAAGAGAGGTTAACATGAGTTTGTGTGACTGACTGAATGACTGGCTTTCTGAATGACTGACTTACTGAATGACTGACTGACTGAACTGACTGACTTACTGAATGACTTGACTGACTTACTGAGTGACTTGACTGACTGACTGAATGACTTGACTGACTTACTGACTTGACTGTAATAATAATAATATTATTATTATTATTATTATTATTATTATTATATTATTATTATTGCTGAGAAGAAAAAGAGAATGATTTCCATGGAATTAAAGCATGAAATCATAGATAAACAAACGAGGTGTCCAGGTTTTGGGTTGAGGGGGAAGAGGGAGGGGGAGCTGGCTCATAACTCAGAGCAAAAAATTGACCCAGGGACGGCTCGTATCTCAAAAAACTCATTAGTTGGGACACTCATAAGTCAAGGTTCCACTGTAATCGTGGAATGAAAAATAAGTGTTGCATGGATTCCCTGAAAGGGAGCGGACGAATTTGAAAGATAATTATTCAATTTTATTGGTTATTTTTAAGAATTGTTTATATTACAGAATTAGACACTTTGCACACATGAATTTTCTATTAAAAACGTTTCGCCAACAAGAGGCTTCCATGTCCAAAACAAATATTATAAGTATAAGATCATTTTTCATGTATCACCAATATCTTTAGTTATGCAGCATAAAGGTGGCATTTTACTTGAATGTTGAAGGAACATTTGTTGTTAATATTGTTATTCCAATTTGGAATTTGAAGAGTTGTAAAAAGGTTTGGGTTCTTTAATTGTTTTGTAATACGACAAATTAAGATTAGACATATTCCCCAATGGTTTTATAAGAAACGTTTCGCCCCCGTCTTCATCCCAATCTTTGGTAATTATTAAAATTGTGGCAAACGTGCTGAATAAGACCCCTGTTGCATAAGTTTTCCTTTAACTTGCGGTTTTTCAAAACATTCACTATCATTTTTCTCCACATTATACCAAAAACAACAAAAGATTTTAAACCAAAAATTTTTCATGTAACCAATATCTTAGTTATTATAAAGGGTCATTTAAATTTATTAATTGTTGTTATAGTTATCATTGATTAAAGTTATAAAAGTGTCGAATGTCAGTACTATACAGTTAATATTCCCAACTTTTTTTTGCATTCCCCAATCTTTTTATTATTATTTGCATCATGTGGCTGAATAACTTGATGTATTTCTCAGAGTTGAAAGAATTCAAATCCCAAAATTAAGATGAAACAATGTGCTATCTATTTCAATTTACTTATATGGCTCAGTGGACAAATACAGTAATAACAGATTTTTATTGAATTTGTCTTTATACAGGGGTCGCATGGAGTGATCTATACAAGTGAATACCGCCTGTCACAGCCATACTGCTTGACCTTTCAAGTTCATATGCATTCTTTGGTTGGCCAGAATGGTGCTCTGAATGTTTTTAATGTAGGTGAAGGGAATATTGATAATGGAGAACTGCTTCTGCATATTAAAAAAGATTTTGGACCAGATTGGGTCACAATACAGGTAGGATGATTTAATAAAATTTTAGGTTTATTTTAAGTACTGTATGTTTAATTTGAAAAAGGATATTTTTACCTCCAACTTGTAGGATCTTCATAGAAATTTTTCAAATGATAAGTATTCATGTGTCAAGAATAATTGTGGTAAATTATAACTTTATTAAAGGATTTATACTCTTCTAGAATTCTGTAATAATAATGATATATTTGTTACTGTCCTTCTGTAATATAATTGTAGTATTATCTTATTAATTTAATATTTCCTTAACTATCCACAAAAGTATATGTGGAAGGTTATTTGTATCATATTAATTTGTTGGTCTTTTACCTGTCATTTAAATGGGTGAGCCAGGAAGTGGGTCTGTTTGAGGAGCAGGTGGTTTAATAATGTGATGAAACATTTGGTAATAGTTTCCACAGCTGCATAACATGTTTTTCTGGTCTTACATTTTGTCCATTCAACTGTGATACCAATATTAAATGAACTAGCATTTCACAAAAATATAATATCCAGCTATGAATCATAAAGTAATATATATTAATTTTTTACTTATCAGCTAATTAAAGATGACTTGAAAAGTTATAAATGATATACCAGTCCATCTTAAAATAAAGCACTGATTACACGCACTTCTTGAAATCCAATTTATTTTCGTTATACTGTACTGTTTATTCAAATCTTTCATTATTATGTAGGTAGAGTATATGTAATGAGATTATTTGATGGTACTAGTTTTCAATTTTTCAGCTTGACATGGAGCCATCAATGAAGCCTTTTCATCTAGCTTTCCAAGGCACCATTGGTGATCAGACAAATAACGTTTTCTCAACTTTTGCTTTGGATAATGTAAAATTGACTCCGGGTATGTGTAACTCACCTGCATCATGCACATTTGATGATGGACTGTGTTCTTGGTACTCTAATGAGAACATGGGTGATATAGAGTGGCAAATTGCAGGTCCAGGAGAAGCATCCCTTGACACCAGACCTTATTCAGATTCTACTCAAAGAAATAACTTGGTAAGAGCTTTAATTATGTATGTAATACAGTGGAACTTAGGTTTTCGCATGTTCCAGTTATTGGACAGTTCGGTTTTAGAACTGTTTTTTGTGCGAAATTTTGTTCTGGATATCAGACCTGGTTCCAGACATCGGACGTATCAGACACTGCCACTCTGTGTCTCAGTCTGCCTCTGTCAGTAGTTGAGTGAGCATTACTTCGCACGTTCCAAAACATTTTGCAATAATCCATTGTTTTTTGTGCTTGTTTATTCATTGTGACTATGAAATAAGCCACCATGGGCCCAAAGAAAGTTCCTAGTGCCTGCCCTTTGATAAAGAAGGCGAGAAACATGATGGAATTGAAGGAAGAGATTATAGAAAAATACAAATGTAGCATAGGTTTAGCCGAGCTTACCAGGATGTATGGGAAGTCGAAATCAACAATCTTTTCCATCCTGGCAAAAAGAGTAGAAATCAAGGAAAAACTGTTAGTGGGGGATACTTTATTTATCATTGTTTTGTCTATGTAAAACTATATTTATTTTTTAAAAAATGAATTTTTTTTGTGAATATTTTTGGGTGTCTGGAACGGATTGTATTTACATTATTTCTCATGGGAAAAATTTATTCAGTTGTCGCACTTTTTGGTTTTAGAACAACCTTCTGGAATGGATTAAGTTAAAAAACTGGAGTTCCACTGTACTTACAATTGTATTTATAATTGGCAGCTTATACTGTTTATGTTGATCATTTATCTTTCTCTCAAGACTGCTTAATGCTTTTAGATGACTTTCTATTATTTGGCTTTTCAGAAATGGGTAAGAATGCCTACACTTACGACATCTTTGTTGAAAATATTTCTGTATGGGACCATAACCCTTTGAGGGTTGACAGGCCCTCTCCGAGATTCGTTCTCAGGGTCAGCCAAATTTAAAAAAAAAAAAAAAAAAAAAAAATTCTTATGAAAAGATAGAGAATCTTTTCCCGATCATAATGACACCAAAAGTATGAAATTTGATGGAAAGCTTATGTAATTATGCTCTCGCGAAGTTAGCAGTCTCGAAGATGTTTAAGCATCGGCGATTTTGCCCACTTTGAGCCCTATTTTCGGCCAATTCCACTGTACTAGTCGACAAAAAACATAAATATTTCGCTAGAACTCCATTTTTTATATCGAATGAGTGCAAGAAACCACCCATTTACCAATTTAAACTATCCCTTTCAGTGGACAAAATTTTAATTTTTCCCAAAATTTCACACAAATTTAAAAAAAGGATCCCCAATTTTCCCCAAATGGGGCCCCGAATAAAAAAGGGAAAAGACATTCCTGGCACAAAATGCATTTCCCCCTTTCTTTTGTCAGGGACCAAGGCTCCTTTACTTTTTTTGCTTTCCACATTAAATTTTTTTATTTCACAAAAAATAAAAAGTTTTAAAGTTTTTCAGACTATGCATTAGTGTAAAAAATGGTTTTAAAAAATTTTGGGCGCACTTAAAAAGGAATTTTAGACTAAACCCTTTTGGGGACGTGTTTTGGGACATTGGCATGATTTGTTTACTTTTGAATTTTGGGTAAAATCGAATATTTTGTTACTTTGAGTAAATTTTCCGGGGTTTACTTTTCATTGTAAAACCATTCAAAATCTTTCTCAATTTCTTAATATTTTCCTTCTTTTAAATGAAACCAAAAAAACTAAAAATTAAAATTAAAAAAAACCCATATGAAAATACAGGGCAAAGTCGTTTTTTTTTTTTTTATTAAAAAAAAACGGCCCAAATTTTTTTTTTTTTCATTATGAAACTGTGTGCTGCAGGATTTTTTTTTATACTTTGCAAAACTGACCACAAAAACCCATTCTTTCATATTTTTTGCCTCCCAAAGCTTTCCCCCACTAGTTTTGAGGGCGTTTAGAATTTGGGCGTACAAGTACGTCAAAAACCCCGGGGTCTAAACCGCTAGTTACGGCCAAAAACCAAAAAGGGGTTTAATTACTCCAAATACATATATATATTATATATAAAATATATATATATTTTTTTTCCCATATAGTCGGATTGAGCCCGGGAAAAAAAAAAGGGGAAGAACGGGCCGCATTTTAAAAAGGGGGGGTTTTGGGAAAATGCATTTGGGGGGGATATTTTGTGATCTCTAAACGTAAAGCTTCTAAGCTGTTTTATTTCTAAAGCCCCTTTGGGCAAAAGCGGGTGATAATGTGTGAGTGGGTGAAAGTGTTAAAAGATGATGAAAGTTTTTTTTTTTTTTGGGGATTTTCTTTTTTTTTTGGGGTCACCCTGCCTCGGGGGGAGACGCCCGACTTGTTAAAAAAAAAAATTATTTTTATATATATAAATATATATTTTATATATATATTAAAATATATATATATATATATTATTTTATTATAATATATTATTTAACAAATATAATTTTTTTTTTTTTTTTTCAACAAGTCGGCCGTTCCCACCGGGGGCAGGGGCCCCCAAAAAAAGAAAAAAAAACCCCCAAAAAGAAAAATATTTTCTTTTAAACATTCAACACTTTCACCCACTCGCACATTATCATGTTTTTGCAAAAAGTGCAAAAAACCCAACGGGCCCTGAACAAACAATAAAGATACAAAAACATATCCCCCCAAACTGCCAATACCCCAAACCCCCCTTCCTTTAAATTTGCGGGCTTTGTACTTCCCTTTTCCAGGACTAAAGTCCGACTAAAAGAAAAAACGGTTTTCCCTTGAATCCCTTCCTAAATATTACCCGGCTCCCCCACCCAACGGGATCGTAAAGGTCCCAAGAACCATTCTTTTCCCCATTCACCCTTTCCCTAACACGTCCCCCACCTTGTGGAACCAACCCCCTTACCCAAAAAACCCCTTTCCCCCCTCTCTCCCCCCTTTTCGGGGAGGGACCCCCTACCCCCCCTTCCCTTTTCCCCTTGTTTTTATATGTTTTTCCAAAGTCATTCTATTTTGGGACCCAAATTCTCCCCTAAATGACAAACCACCTCAACAACCCCTTTCTCCCCTTTGACTAATACTTTATTAACTCCACCCCTTTCTCCAAATTTCCCAACACCCCGAAATTTTTGCAAAAAAATTTACCCCACACATTCCCCTTTAAAAACAGGACTTTCCCCCTGCCCCCAACCGTCTCCTCGCTGCTGAAATTTCCCAAACCCAAGCTTCACACCCATAAGGAGTTTTGGGTACTACTATACTTTCATACTTTTCCCTTTTTTGCCTCCATAGTTTAATTTTTTTGCCCTCCCATATACCCAATGCCCACTCATTTTTTTTCCCTCTTCATTTCTTTAATTAACCTCATCCTTAAAAAAACCCCACCCGCCGAAAACGTAAAACCCCCAAGTATCGGGAAAACATTCACTTCTTCCATACCCCCCCTCCCCAATTTGATATCCAATTTTTTTTTAATCAAAATTTTGACCCCTCATCCCCTTTACTCTTTTCAAAGTTCACTTTAAATTTTCTACCTTTACACACTTTCCCCAAACTCATCCACAAATTTTTGGGCAATTTTTTTTTAAAGAATCCCCCTAAGACAGAAATCATCAGCAAAAAGTAACTGTGTCAATTCCCATTTTAAATTTGGGGTTTCCCCCATAATTTTTTATAAATAAAATATAAAACAATAAAATATTTATAGGTTTTGGTTGGTAGACAGCAACCATCCAGGGGGGTTATCCCGGGCCTTCCAAATTGAGTGAAAAAGGGAAAGCCTGTAATTGTTTTACATGAGGTAGGTTTGCTGGGGGTCTTTTGTTTTCTCATAAATATGCTTTTTTTAAGGTAGGCTTGCAACTTCTACTTACACTTAGGTCACACTACACATACATTTTACACGTTTTTTTATACACACTCATCTGATTTTCTTTGTTTTTAAATTTAATACTTGGTTTTATTTTTTTTCCCTTTTTAATATCCAGGGGGAAGGGGGAAAAAGAATTTTTCCCTCCGAAGCCATGCGTTTTTAAAAAAAGTCAACAAAAATGCCGGGAACAAGGGGCTAGTAACCCCTTTTCCTGTAAAGTTTTACAAAAAAGAATAAAAAGAAAAAAAATTTTTCAAAGTGGGAAGTTGAATGTGCGGGGTTGTTTTTGAAAATGTTTAAGGGAAAGAGAGGGTTTTGGGGAATTTTATGAATGAAAAGAAAACTGGATGTCCTGGCTTTAAGTGAAAAAAAGCAAAAAGGGGGGGGGAAAGGTTAAATTGGAGGGGAAAAAAATGGGATTATTAGGGGTTTAAAATTTAGAGTTAGGCTAAAAGGGAGTAGAAATAATTTTTGAAGGATAAGTATGGGGGGAAAAAGGGGGACAACAAAGTAAAATTTCAAGGTTTAAAGTGGAGTAAAAAAAAGATTGGATGTGAAAAGGGGGTTTATATAAGCGTGAATCCCACCTGGGAAGAGAGAAGTTAGAGGAGAAGGGGAGATTCGGGGGAAATGTTAAAGTGAAGGCGGGGGGGAGTTTTGAATCAAGTGTGGGGAGTAAGGGTTTGGGTTGGGGATTTTAGCTGAAGGGGAAAAAATGTTAGGGAGGGAGAAATTGGGAAAATTTTTGGGGGCCAGGGGTAAATTTTAAATGGGGACCCTTTTAAATTGAGCAATTGTAGAAAGAAATTTGGAATAAGAAATTTCCTTTATTTTTAAAAAAAGGGATAAAAAAATATACAAGGTATGATGTAGCACGTAATAAAAGTAGTTTTTTTAGTTTATGAAATTGGTGGAAAAAAGGTTTGAGGGGTTTGGCCCCAGGATGTACATTTTATTAAGGGGCAACTGTTTTTATCGGATTTAAATTTATTTGGGAGCTACATTTAGAGTAAGAGGTAGAGGGGGAAAAGGGGAAGGGGGGAAACAACAATAAGAGGGGGGAAAGTTTATAAACTAAGGGGGAGGAAGTTCGGGGGGGAGATAAAAAAGCGAATTGGCAGAAAGGGGGGCCCTAGTCCCAAAGATGAGTAGGGGGGGGGTTTTGAAAGGGGGTTGGGAATAGTTTTAAAAATGCGGTTTTAGAATGGGGGGCAAAATTTTGTGGTTATAGGAGGGGGGGGGAAGGAGGAAAGAGGAGGGGATTGGGGAATGTAAGAAAAGGGTGTGATAAAAGAAAAAGGTACCCTTACGAGGGGTTTTTACAAAGCAAAGTGTTTAAAAAAGAGCAGAGTATATGGGAGTAAAAAAAAAAGGTAAAGAGAGTGGTGAGAGATTGAAAAAGGAGAGCAAAAAAAAGGGAGGGGGGAGAGGCACTGTCAAAAAAATTTTAAGGGAAAAATAAAAAAAAATTTTTGGGTGAGTTTTAACAATTTAAAGAAACCCTAGGGAAAGTATGGATTTGTCAGTTAAAAACGAGTGGGGGAATTATTTTAGAGGGGGGAGAGGGAGGTATTGGGGTAAAATGGCGAAAATATTTTGGGGAAAATTTTTAAAATTTTAAGGAAAAAAGGAGGCGGTAATTTCATCCCACTGGCCGGGGAGGTATCCCCTCTTTTAGATTTAAGAAGAGCGGACTGTAATGTGGGGAGGTACGTGAGGCTTTAAAGAAGAATGAAAAGGGGGTAAAGAAAGCTGAACTGATGGGATCATGACAGAAATGTTAAAAAAACAGGGGGGGAAAATAGTGTTGGAGGGGT